GGATAACCCTCGAAAGTCTTGAGAATTATTTCCAGAGTGTACTGTTTTCTTTAACGTGCACATAAGCCATATTGCCCACGGGACCAACAGCTAAATCGTCCCATCTGAAAGAAGGTGCGCTATCGTAACTTGCATTTCAGCCCTCTAGTTGAAATACAAGGAGAGCAGCGATTGGAATTGAACCGGGGACCAAGAGGCAAGAGATCATGGCGGTTCAGCTACCGCCAGTTTAGCTGACTGAGCTGCTGCATATTAATAGCTTTGCAATTAAATGTTTACATGCTAATGTTAAATTATTCTATTTCAGATATTAATGAGTGCAGTAGCAGTCCCTGTTCAAATGGTGCAACCTGTAACAATCTGCAGAACATGTTTACTTGTTCTTGTCTTGCGGGATACACCGGAAGGCTTTGTGAGACAAGTAAGTTCAATTTATGATGGTAGAATAATAAATGTGTTTTATTTTTGTTTGTTTTTTTTATTATTGTTTTTTTATATAAAATCACTGAAAATATCTTCGAATTTAAATTTAAATGTTCTTTATTTGCAATTTCGTGAACAAAATTGAAGAGTAACAACAAATTCTCAAAAACAAGAACAAGATTAAATTTACAAGTTTAAACCAGAAACCAAACCAAAAACATTTATTTATTAAATTAAATTTATCAACAATAATAAAAACAATTATGTACAATTAATTATATTAGGAAAATGTCACTGAAATTAAACAGCTCAAAAACTCATTGATAAATACTGATTCAAACAAAATGTTTTTATGTTAATAATTTACGGTACTAATTCAAGGCAAGTTCAATATATAGGCCTACATATATTTTATAAAATTGTCATTCGTCATATGATGTCATTCTTTAATTTGTTTTATATGGTAACCTTTATTAGCAGATATTTTATGCAAGTTATAATGAACATTACACAGGCTACCACCTCACATGCATAATGCATGAGTCTCACGCATGAGAATCCACTTTTTACGTTTCATGCATCATAACAATTTTTTAATATGATAGAATGTATAGGCTGATTATACCCTAAAATTCATAAATATGAAGTGAATTCGTCAGTAAAATGTAAATACAGGCCTTATAAATTTCTTTTAAAAGCTTTACCAACCAAAGACTATACAAATTTAGTAATATTTTTGTCTCACACATCAGAAGCCAACAAAGTTGGCAGGTATATAACACTATTACATCAAATTTATATTTCAAAACATTGTTTGACCTTTAACCTTTATCGCTTGTGTCTAGATATCAATGAATGTGCGAGCAACCCATGTGTGAATGGCGTGTGTAACAACAACCTGAATTTCTTTAGCTGCACATGTGACGGCGGATGGCAGGGCAATCGATGCGATGTAGGTAAGTTGACTCTCCACTGTGTATGAGAAAGGAACTAATTTAAAAGACACTTTCAAAGTAGTTCTGCGATGGAGTGAGTACATGTACCTAATTGTGATATATAAAGGTACCCCTGAATACTGTTAGCATTTCTTTTGCCAGTGTCCCAAGTTTGATGCATTTCCTTCTGTTAGATCTGACTGAAGAAGCTTCTATAATATATTTTATTTTGCTGCGCCTGGCAATACACATCGCCGCTGTCTTCTGTGAGACAATTCATCATAAATTAGTAAAAGCATGCAAATATAAATGAATTTTCGGGGCTATGTGTTATTTTCCGGGATATTTGTGCCCTGGTTTCGGGTGTGCGGGAGGCCGTTCCAACATCTGCGAGACTTATGCGACTTCCTGGAGACTTCATAGACCGCTGCAACTGTTGTACCACATGCTTTCATGGGATAAATATCATGTTACAGTGTGACAACATTGTTTTTTTCTTTTCACAGATTATGATGAGTGTACAAGTAATCCATGCTACAACGGTGCGGTCTGTCAGAACCTTGAAGATCAGTACACATGCACATGTAGTGCAGGCTGGAAAGGAACCAGATGTGAACATGGTTAGTTCTTAAATTGAATTTACTAATGTGAATGCAGCTTTATTGCAATTTTGTAAGTGTGGACACAGATTAAAAGTTCTACAATTAGTGTGAATGTGGTGTATTGTGGAATTACAGGCACGTTGTGTGAACAGGGTATAATATCATAAGACACAGGTTTGAACAAGATGTTGAGATACTGATGTGGTTCATTATTTTCAAGACACTAATGTGAAATTGGTGCATTATTAAGACAATAATTTTGTCTGTGAAGCTCTGTCCAGACTGTTGTATACCTATATATAGTCATGATGTGCCTATATATGGTCATGCTGTGATGTCATCATGACTATATTTAGACACGTCACATGTTTTTATCAGATTAAATTTGATGTTCTGGACAGGGCTAAGATGTACCTGACGTAATGTTCCTTACTTAATCAGATTTACTCTGATAGTGGTTTCTTTTTTCTGATATACCTGTTTACATCAGAATGTTTGTCTTCTATTATATGTGGAACTCAGTTCTTTGATATATTTAGTTTGCGATTTCTGAACTGTTCAAGCTTCTGTAATAATGATATGTGGTACACATTTCTACTGCTGCATTCAGGCTTGTCATCACACTAGGTTTACGCCCAATCTAATGTGTTCAAGAATTTAAACTAGTAGGTCCACCCAGCAAAGTCACTGAGCATTAACTGATGAAAGATATTTAAACGCTCATAGCATGTCGGCTTGTTTACACTAGGCCTTTTGATTTAACATTGCAGTCTATGGTACTAACACCTGCATGTTATGAATTAAGCTGTGAAACCTCTAGGTTTTTCAAACCTGGGTTAAGGGTATTGGTAATAGTAGGATATTTGCAGAGCGCCTTTCACAATAGAATCGTCTCAAGGCGCTGACAGTATACAGACTCCTAAGTCAGATTAGAAAATAAAAAAATTGCAAAAAATAAACTGAGAACACAAAAGGAAAAGGAAGTGTAATGCCTGGCATAAGATAGCCTAACCGTGCTTATTAAAAAAAATATAAGCATAGCCTAAGAAAGCAATGTTACACAATAATTAATGTTTTGCAGATTTATCGTTATTTTGCCCCTTATTTCAGATACAAACGAGTGTGCCAGCAATCCATGTCAGAATGGCGGCGCATGTGTTGACGGAACAAATCGTTTTGACTGCACGTGTGTACAGGGATGGTCGGGCACTTTATGCGAGCAAGGTAGGCTAATTTTAATAACTCAGGTGTACCTCCAAGTATAAATATTGCAGATTTATCGTTATTTTGCCCCTTATTTCAGATACAAACGAGTGTGCCAGCAATCCATGTCAGAATGGCGGTGCATGTGTTGACGGAACAAATCGTTTTGACTGCACGTGTGTACAGGGATGGTCCGGCACTTTATGCGAGCAAGGTAGGCTAATTTTAATAACTCAGGTGTACCTCCAAGTATCAAAACAGATATTCAGCAACAGGATTTGTTGGACATTGGAAATCACCTTGTATCAGTCACTGCGACGGATGGTTCAGGAAACACCAACAACTTATGTTCCTTTAATATAAAGGTCATAGGTAATAGGCCATAATCACATTTTTATACAGTATAATCATTTTCATTGTGTTTAAAACATAACTTAGATGTTAATGTATAACTAATGAGTGAGAGATTTGCTGTTTGATAAAAATAGGAAAACAATAATGAATTGTTTTCTTACGTTACAGGCTATAACGAATGCTCCAGCTTCCCGTGCCAAAATGGTGGCGTCTGTACCGATGCGATTAATGGATCCTTTTGCACTTGCCAACCAGGATATAGTGGCGCACGATGCGATGAAGGTAAACTTATAGACTGACCGGTCATAATAAGGCCAGGATCCCACAAACGCAATGTTTACATACATTTATGCTGTAATTTTGTGGGAATGTCGTAACAATTTTCAGGAGAAGGGCTTAATTGTACAGTAATCATAAATTTACTTTTTGTTTAGTTAAAAGTGTTACCATATTTATTAATGTGAGTTTTTTTTTTTTATACTTGTAGTCAATTTCTTATTGTGTTATCATAGTCTTGTTTTCGATATTATAAAAGGTTTGATATCGTGTTAATATTAATTTAAATAATAATGCCAAACATTTATAACCGCACCAATTCCAAATTGAATGATGAAAGGCGCTGATTGTTATTACCTCTGTTACTGAATAACATACAACGGCAAACCAGCACAAAGTGCAGCCTTCTTCGCTCCAGGTAGAGTGTAGATAAAGTGCCATGCCCAAGGACACAAGCGACTTGCACAACGAGAGTTTCGAACCCCTGATCTCAAAGTTGGGAGCCCTAGCCATTAGCAATGCGCCAACCACTCCTACTATTCAAAGTACATATTCCCATTTCCATAAACCCCTGTGTACTGGTCCTTACAGCCCCTGTTGTGGACAGATGAGAAATAGCAGGTTCCAATTTATTGGGAAGAAACAAATTACTGAACAAGCTAGTACGTACCTCGAGCGCTTAACACTTTGATATACAGCGCTATTTGAAAATACATACATTACATTATCTTTTGTTAGAATGCATAAGATAAGTATGTGTAGGTAGCTATTGCTGTCTCTTATACACATCTAGATGTGTATAAGAGACAGAGTCTCACGCATGAATCCACTTTTTACGTTTCACGCATCATAACAATTTTTTAATGTGATAGAATGTATAGGCTGATTATACCCTAAAATTCATAAATATGAAGTGAATTCGTCAGTAAAATGTAAATACAGGCCTTATAAATTTCTTTTAAAAGCTTTACCAACCAAAGACTATACAAATTTAGTAATATTTTTGTCTCACACATCAGAAGCCAACAAAGTTGGCAGGTATATAACACTATTACATCAAATTTATATTTCAAAACATTGTTTGACCTTTAACCTTTATCGCTTGTGTCTAGATATCAATGAATGTGCGAGCAACCCATGTGTGAATGGCGTGTGTAACACTCCTGTACTTGTTTAAGTGGATATGAAGGTGAACGTTGTGAGGAAGGTAAGCTAATAGATACACACAGAATCCACACAGCTAGCAATTTTTAAAATATTGTTACAGTTACACTATATAAATGAATAGATAAAACTTAAAAAAAAACAGTGCTGAGATAGGAACGTAAGTTATTATAATCGTATCAATCACTGGCCTTCAACGAAAATTTCATTTTTTACAACTAAATTTAAAAGGAACTTATATTTGGTTTATTGTTTTTGTTTTTTGGATTGTTTTTTTTTTTTGTCTTTTTTCGGGGAGATGGGGAGGGGGACATGAGTAATTTTTTTGGTGAGGAGGGGTATCTGTCTGCACAACCTCATGTAATTTATAAATTAATTTACACATTATTTTAAATAAACAATAAATGATTTTATCACAATCACAACAGATATTCAGCAACATGATTTGTTGATGATTGGAAATCATTTTTCATAAGTCACTGCGATGGATTGTTCAGGATACAACAGCACCTTGTACTCTTCAACTTAACAATCATAGGTATATGTCGAAATTCTATTTAATGATTCGGTGAAGTACGCCTCAGCAGCAACTCTCTCTTTTCTCCTTTTTAATGTTTTCTATTATAATTATGAACTATATGACAATAAGAGTATTTTTGGGTAATGTTGGTTTTTATGTATTTTTTTATATAATAAGAAAATAAATAATTATATTCTGTATTCTTAGAGCATTATGCATCAACCTACCTGATACTAGTATACATAGTCTTTGTCTGCGTGGTGATGTGTACATTATTTGTCTTCATCTGCAGGTAGTGTTTCTATTCATATTTAGCTACATTTCTTTTAAGAATTTTATTTTATTTATTTATTTTTTTTTAGTTAGGCCTATATTATATTTTTGATATTCAGAATGTTGGTTTTGCTATTACACTCTCTATATTGACATTGTTGTTTGCTTTTATGAAATCACAGGCCTGTTTAAATAGCTATGGTTTTTTTTGCTTAAGTGTTACTTGATAACAATGATGACATATTTTTTTTTTCTTAATTAGGTGGTATTATAAAAACCATAAGAAAACGGAACATACTACAAATATGAACAACATTCAAACCAGTAGTGCTCCCAACCCACCTAGAGAAATGTCAGTGGTGGCTAGTTCAGTGTGTAGTGCAATTCCAACAGCAACGAATACACCAGATAACACAAGGTATGAAAACATTCCTCTGCCAAGCAGTGGTGCCGCAAAACGATCTATGCCATCACAAAGGAATGATCATCCAGTTAATGATGATGTTGGAGTTATACCAACAACATCAAATGTACTAAGTGATACAGTGTATTAAATTCCTCTGCAAGCCAGTGGTGTTGGTGGAGCTGCTCTAGAACGAGCTATGGAATCACGAAGGAAAGATGATTTGATCAATTATAATAACGAAGCTATACCAACAACACCAAATTTACCAAGTGACACAGGATATGAAATTCCTCTGCAAGCCAGTGGTGTTGATGGAGCAGCTCTAGAACAAGCTATGGAATCACAAAGGAAAGATGATTTGATCATTGATAATAGTGGAGTTATACCAACAACACCAAATGTTCCAAGTAATACAGAGTACGAAATCCGTCTGCCAACCAGTGTTACTGATTGGGCTGCAGATTCACTTGATTCAACTTGTGAAGATCACATATATACTTCAATAATTTAAGCATAACTAACCTGAGATATAAAGCATGTATACACAAAATATTATATTTTTGTATTAATTTCATTTTCTAGAATCATACAATATTGAACAAAAAAGTAATTGGTAGGGTACAGTTAAAAATTCTTGGTAGAATCTAAAAAATAATTAATAATACCGTTTTAAGATATTATTTCCAAACAATTATATTTTTCGCTTGATCTATAATATATATATATATATCCCCCCGAGGAGTTGTGGTTTTTTTCTCCTTGACAGGGTGGCGACCGGCCCCCTGGCCCCCGCCTCCACAGTCCCAGCCAGGGCCCCCGTTGGGGAAAGCTGGTCCCGCCCCCGTTGGGGAGAGCTGCTCCCACTCCCGTGGAGTATATATCTATATATATATATATATATATATATATATATATAAACAATCGAATATTTACAACCAACTAATCTACTAGCAGAGTAGAGGGCGGCCCACTACATCGGGAAACGTCAACAACTAGCAAACCAGTCATTGTCTGATAAAGATATGTTGGTAACAGATCGAAACGTCACAACAGTATGTACATTTAATGGTTTACTTACAAGAATTTGTTCATGTTCAAACATCACAGAAACCAGATGAAACTATTTTAGATTGCATTTTAAATAACATTTAAAATAGGGAGAGTATAAGTATTTACATTGAAAGATATTAGTATGCGTAAAAGCTACAAAACTTGGATTACCTTTTTTAGTTCAGTTATAAGAGTGTGTTGTACAATTTGTTGTCAAGATATGCTAATATAATATTTATGTGAGCCAACAATATCTATTATCAACATAACTCTACCTGGCTCAAATCTAACAAGCTAACACTCAATGTAACAAAACTAAATCTATGCTAATAGGTTCTTCTAATAAGTTAAAAGTTAATCATTCAATCAACCTTCTTTAAGATGACACTCCTATCCAATCTGTAACCTCTCACAAACACCTTGGTGTGACCATCGACAACACCCTAACCTGGAAATCTCATATTTCCTCACTTTGTAAAAAACTCAACTCCATCACCTACCTACTTGCACGCACCTCTAAATTCACTAATAATTCTTCTCTCCACCTCTTGTACAATTCGTTGTTTCTATCTAGACTTGACTACTGCTGCTCTGTCTGGGGTTCCAAACCCACTACTACCGTTGAACTTCAAAAAATTCAAAATAAAACTATTCGCATCCTACTTAATCTTCCTCCTATACTACTCATTTAACTTCTTTCCACTTCTCTTTTGCTAAGACCCTTCCTTTCCATGACAGATATCGATATCAACTTGGCTGTTTAACTTTTAAAGCTCTACACAATCTTGCTCCCCAAACAATTTGTCAGTGTCTCACAAAAATAACTGCAAATGGCCGCATGAACACTCGGCAGATCACTAAAGGGACTTACATATCCCAGACCCCACTTTGAACTTTTCAAACTTTCATTTAGCTTTAATGCCCCCTCTTTCTTTAACTCTCTTCCCTTAGATATCCGCAATGCTTCTACTTACTCCTCCTTTAAATCGTTTCTCAAAAGTTACCTCCTTCTTTCTCTCCTGTAATTCTGTTTCTTTGGCCTTTTGCACTGAGAATT